GAAACACCGACCGAAAGGATTTTATACTAAAAACCCTCATATTAAAAGAAGAATTACTTGGTTTTATATAATTTTTAGTTTGAATTATAAGAAATTTTCGGTAAAGGTAAAAACATTTTTTTAAATTTGAGATTTGTATTAAATAATTGGGATCTTAAAAGCAAAAATTTTTCACATTTCTAACAATTAAAAAAGTCCTTTATTTTATATTTAATTTCAAATATTTTTTAATTGTTATTTAATTGTGTCATTTATATAAGAGTCCAATTATTTTATATTAAAAACCTTCATATTAAAAGAAAAATCATTTAATTTTTATAATTTTTAATTTTAATTATAATAAATTTTCGGTTATGTAAAAATTCGTTATTCTATAATTAACTTAGTTTAGCAAATCTAAGTGTCTTTTATATAAGAGCCCAATTATTTTATATTAAAAACCCTCATATTAAAAGAATAATCAATCAATTTTTATAATTTTTTATTTTAATTATAATAAATTTTCATGTGGTCTTCTAAGGGCCCAATTATTTTCATTAGAAATTTGTCTATTAGATACATTTCTTTTTAACCCAGTCATCTTAAGATAAAATGAAGTTCCCTGAAAGAAATACGAACAATATTTCTCTTTTTACCACGCCTTTCCCCAATATGAATTGAACATTTTCTCGTTTGGACCCATATTATTGAAATATTTTGGGCCGTTATGAGGTCGTCTAACGCCACCTTGGAAGGTACGGTTTGTTTGTCTGAACGCATCTACATCCGCAGACGACGGCGCCGAAACGAGACTGACCTCGAACACAACTGACATGATTTAAAAACAATCCTATACAGAAAAAAAGACCACCGTGTACGTTGTTGCCAGTTTTGCCCGAGCGAGACTAATTGAAAAAGTACTAGGGACCATCACGTCGTAAAATTTTGACGTTAAACCAAGGTGTTTTTTACATATATTATACGAATATGTAAAATAGTAGAACAGTTTAAATATTGATGGTAACTCTGGATTAAAAAAATGATAAATAATTTCTAAAACAATAGTTTTTATTAATTACTTAATTGGATACAGTCAAACAATCCAAAAGAAATCTATCTAACATGTACAGGGTGTATCAACTTCTATAGTCAACCCATTCGGAAATTATTAACTTTAGCAAAAAATGGACATATACAAACCCCAAATTAATTTTAGCTAGGAATCCTATAACAATTTTCCTTTTAGTAAAAGGGCTGTAAAATAAGCTCTAGAAACGAATAGAAACGTACAATAAAAATACGGGATTCTCATTAAAAATAACAAAGTTAGTGACATTTCCCAGCTAGATGAGAAAGTTATTTTACATCTGTTACCGCAATTCCTAGCCAAAATTAACTTGGGGTTTGTATAAGACCATTTTTTGCTTTCAGAATTAAATTGGTGGACTATAGAAGTTAATACACCCTGTATATAAAAGTGAATGACCGTATGTGTGTTAATCGTAAAAACGAAAACTACTAAACTGATTTCGATGGAACTTTCACAATTTGCTTTTATTAGTGCCGGACGGATTTAGAAACTATAAAATGGGCATATAACAAATAATGGGCGTCAGGATTTCAGGAATTTGTGGCGCCCATTTTCTCAGCTGTCAGCTGTCCAGACGGGCCTCCGGCTGCCGGAATGATAGATACATTTTTCGAATTCCGATTTCGAGCTTCTAGCACTCAATAGAGCGATTTCGATGAAAATTTCAGTTTGTTCAAACAGTCCTGGGAGTGTTTAGAAACTATAAAAATGGCATGTATTACACATGAGGGTCGTCAGGATTTAAACAAAATGATAACATTTTCTTATAATTACACGTTTCCCGCGTCTTTCAAATTCCGATTTGGAGGCGCTAACAGTCAATAGACGCAAAAGCTACGCTAATATTCTATAATCGCAAAAATTACTGAATCGGTTATAGTTGCAAAATACTGATACTTTATAGTCGCAAAAACTGCAGAATTGGTTTCGCTGATATAAATATAGGAAGATGAAGAACTTCACCGTTGCATCTTTACGATAGGCAGCAGTGGTGTAGATAGGAGAACGCACTATCGGCATGTGACCTGACGGTTCTACTCAGGCACTCATCCAAACCATCAGATTTGAGAAAAATGCTCCAAGTGAACGTTTATTTAGTGTACAAAGATGAGGACTGTAAAAACAGATTTTGTTTTATAGGTATGTATAAATGGACAATTATAAATTAGTAAAATATTAATAAACATTGCTTTAACGAACTCGGTCATTCTAAATTAAATGTACTGTTGTTTTGGAAATTGGATTTATTAACATTCTGACTTTTATAAAACATGAGCTTACAAAGTTCCGTTAATTGAACGGATTTTGCTGAATTACGAATTATGTTTAATCTTAATCTGTCTTTTCACACTGCTGTTGTAGAATTGCTGTTGGAATTGCATTTTGTTATTATGCCACGAAAACGATAAAATATTGGTCGTCGCACAAATAACAAGAGAATTCGAGATAAAAGACAAAATGAAACAAAAGAAGAAACAACTCAACGAAATGAACAAATTAGATTTCATGTATTACACACCTGCTATGAATCAAAACATCACGAAGCCCACAATGAAGCAAGTCGAGTAAGAATTAGAGAATTAAGACAATTTTCACCCTATTGTGATCAAAATGAACAATGTGTCAATAGTGATGCAAATGAATCGATTAAATCAATTGGCAAAACTTGATCGTATTGCATTTCAGTATAATTCAAATATTGAATATAGGTTGCATCCAGTTGTGGTTGTGGAAAGTATGAATAAAGTTTGCCCACATTGTGATGCATTAATGCATTAATATCAAACTTAAAATTGCGTTCATTTATTTATAATCAAGCAATATGTACTAAAAAATACACATACAAATCAATCAATAATCTTATAGTGTGAATGGTTGTTTTTAGGAAATGATTGCGTTGTGGGATGAAATGACCTAGCTGTTTGCAGCTCCCCGAGCCCAACCACCGTTACAAAACAAGATGAAGTAGTAAATTATGCAACTGAATTCATAAATTAATTCGATTTATCTGAATTACTACCACACATCATTAATCTGAAGGCTGGTGTTCCTATCATTCTTCTTAGAAACATTGAACCCATCTTTCAATGGTAATAGGTTTTTTTGGTAGTTTCTTACTTTTCGATATTAATATAGAGATGATTTTGCTGTATTATGAAGTGAAGTTTTGCAAGTATATCTAATAATGTTTAATGTTACATTCTGACTTTTTGACTCTCTGTTCTAGAATTGTATTTTTCTATTGTTTAAAACGACAACATATTGTTTGTAGAATAATATTAATATTCTCAGTAAAATTCAAAGGAGAGGGTGTGCTAATCAACCAACCAATGACACCAACAAATTGCTTTCCAATTCAAATGATTGCAAATTACAATTAAACTGGCTTTTGAAGTAATGATAAACAAATTACCAAAAACATTGTATATCCAAGAGCATCGCAATGAATTTACATTTATTTAATGCAACAGTAATTACATGTTATACAATGTAATCCAAAAGAAAAATCATATTATATATGTCAATATCTAATCATGACTAAATACAATCATTGATATCAAACATTTAATTGTGTTCATTTAATTTATAAATATGCTCCTATCTAGCAATAGCAATATTTATACTCAAAATAATGTGTTAAATAAAACTTTTTATTATCCCCCTGAGCAACGCCGGTCATAAAGCTACATAATATAAATGTACTTAAAAAACGATAAATCAGGTAACAGCCTTTTTCCTTTTTAGATTTTAAGTTTTTGCCTTATTATTGCACAACTATAACAACGTATCTCTTGTCTCAAATAAATAAATTCAAGGTTCCCCCATTTTGGAGACCACGTGAAATTCACTAACTCACAGTTTTTTCTGTCAAGCTAACCCTTTTAACTGTCAGATTAATAATTTTTATTTTTCAAATTGTCATCTTTTATTTAAATTAACCCTCTCTATAAAACATCAAAAAACCTAGGAAATGGCATGACATGTGAGCACGTAAAGTAAAATTCGTGCAATTTGAAAAAGGCAATTTGAATATAAAATATCTGGGCACTCACTTAAGGCCGTGTATGATAGATAGCTTTATTCCATCAAATTCTTAATCCTTTTTCCCGCCAAATTATCTTTTTTTTATTACTTAAAGTTAATCCTTTTTAATTTCAAAGTAACCCTTTCTTTAAGACATTTAAATAACCTATGGGGTTATTATGTTCTATGTTCTGTATATTTGAAAAAATATAAAAACATTCCGCTCATAAAAGACCATATATAAATTAATTACAACTAAAATTAAAAACTGTAAAATATTAAATATAAAAACAAATTAATCTTCTTTTGATTTGAGAAACATAAGAAATTGTGAGTTTTAAGAGAGAAATTATTTTATGATTAAAAAATTCTAAACTAAAAGAAAATATCATTGTTTTTATATTTAATTTTACAAAATCTCTAATTTGAATTAGTTTTAAATATAAAATTATTGTGCTCTTAAAAACCATAAATTCTCACATTACGCAAATTTAAAAAAAAATATATTTCTTTCAGTTTTTATTTTTTTATCCGTACTAAAAACAACACATGTTTCAAATAAATGTGAGGTTCACCAATTTAGGAGGCCGTGTGAGATTAACTCATTTAGAAGGTCTTATAAATTTTATATTTTAAAAGAGGAATATTTTTACAAATTTAGTCCATTTGTCCGGCGGCTGTTTTGAAATTTCTCATTTGTTTCACAGTTAATTTACGGAAAATCGTATTAATATTTTGTTTAATTACGGTAAAAAATTTGAGAATAGAGAAGTTCCATTGACGAGTATATATAGTAATGTAAATAGCACGTCTAAAACAGATTAATGCTCAGCTCTGTCTCATTATTTAAAATTGACATCAAACAATTTAAATATGGGAATGTCAACCGAAATAAACGACAACTCACGTCTTTGTCGTCTTTCCCGCCAATATTTGGAAAGGCGGTTGCTAAGCCGGTCCGTCCACATGAGTTGCCGGTTGGAGACTGGCGATTTGAGCGAACCGGCGAATTGGATTGGCGAGACGGGTTAACGGCAGTGTTGCCACTTCTGAAAAAAATATTTCCCCTACCGAGTGTTGCATTTGATTGCAGAAAAAAAGGATAGCGAAGATGATCAGTAAGGATGGTCGGATAAAAAATGACCTGTGCACATCATTGGTTCCAAATAAGATTTTTAAAATATTCTAGCTTGTTGCTGGAATATTCTAAATTATTTGCAAAACTGATACATATATAGAGACTTCACATCAATCCACCCCTCATCACACCAACCTAGCAGGAGAACTTCAATGAACTTTGAACTAATAGAATTGTTTAAAAAAATGATATATATATATANCTAACTAAAAGTTGAATTCTTAAATTAAATTTTTTTAAAATTCTTTATACATATATATATATTATAACATAATTAAACTATTATTTAACAAAATGAAACAAACATTATTATAACAAAATATCTAATTATATAACAAATAATCAAAGATCAACAACATCAAATATAAATTGATGCACCTACTTGTAAAAAACTGAATGGACAATTTAATCTTCAAACACCTGCAATCTTAACCGGGAGCAGCTGAAAATATATTCCCTCTCATAAGGGTTACTTGCGAAAGGAAAAGAATTTTAAAAAATTTAATTTAATTTAAAAAAACCTCAGAGAGATTAACTTCAAACTTGAAGCGGAAAATAATTTAAATGTTTCTCAGACCTTCAACAAAATACGACATATTGGTCAAATAAATAGACTTTCCATTTCTGAAATAAAAATAAACACTAGCAGGTGAATGGTAATCGGTCCTCGCCGTGCTGTCGGACTCAATTTTTACCTACCTCTTGAACACACAATTTCAATGGATGGATAAATAATTTACTTAATTTTTCTGTTTAGCAATATTTCAAGAATTTAAAAAAGGTGCACTCTCATGAAAATAAATTTCAAGCCTCTAAAATTGCCATAAAACTTTGCACTCATCTGCAAGACGTTGTTAGTTTGTTAAAAAAAAACCTAGTCCGTTATTACACTGTACAAGTAGTAGAAAAATATTTTATTATTACACTAATGATAATTACACATGACACTTGAGGAATCTGCTATCCTGTGACAGCCCACCTTCAAGACAATGCACATATCAAAATATATCTTATATGCGTATATATTATTTTTTCTCTCGGAGACAACACTGACACTATGGCCACCTTATCTGGCCAAAATACTGCAAATGGATCACAAAACACACTGCAAAGTCTGACATAATATAGGAATGTATTATGGAAAGGAGACTGCACTCGACTTTCCACCCTTACATATTTATGTCCAAAAAGTGATTTTTGAGAATGCCAACTATTCCTGAGTGCCAACTATACAAAGAAATAAAATCAGATCTAAGAAGATTCTGACAAAAAATGCTAAAGAGAATTTAAATAAATTATATATCTACAGCTATAGCTGATAAAAATTAAAGGAAAGTTCCACTTTGACAAACCGTTCCAAGTGACAGAGAACTTTGGAAAAAAGACAACCTAAACTTTCAAGAAGGGGCCCGAATATGGTATACTGATGGATCTGAGATGGAGTTTGGTGAAGGGGTAAAAATATACCCTGTGAAAACTCCTTGGACTGGACCCAATAAACTTCCAAATGAGGTCCATGCAACCCAACTCTGGTACAACCAGGAAAGTAATAAAGAACTTTACACGTCGTATAATTTTAGCTCTAAACTAGACTATGAATGCCTAATGGCCATAGATTACAACAAACTTACCTTGAGCAGGGTCTTGGGACAGGACGGTACAGACTGACCAACTAGCCAAATAAGGGACAGCTCTCTCTTCCATAGGACAGAGACAAATCCAAGCACCAGGTATGAGGGAAGCTAAAAGATTTATAAATCTTTCAAAAAGGAAGGCAAAGTAACTCCTTTCAACTGGGAAAATATTAGCTCTTTACACTAGCTATTGCTCCATGAATTACCACCTAAAGAAGATGGGAAAGAAACATGTCGACTCTCAGTCAGAACGTTCCTTCATCAACTTTATAATTTCATTAGCTTGTCATTTGTTGATCTGCTATTCAGGAAATCACCAAAATCCAAGGACTTCTGCGGAACTCCAGACTTAATAAGCCAATGTCAGATCTTTTCGAAATTAACAACTTTTGAACAACTACTTAGATTTAAAATAAAAATATTTCAAATGGTAGAGTTGAACTAAAATCTTACAGATTTTCCTTATGCCAGGCTCTTTATACTTGCCAGTCTTTACGTCGACTATCATACTTCATCATTTTTGACTTTCAAAGTTTCAACTGAATTAATTTGACTTGAAAAAAAAAAAAAAATAATGGCGTCGCTAGAGGGTTGATCCCGCCCTCGACAATCGATACACGTGATCTGTGATAACGATACCTTCCGTTTGTTATTATGTGAAGGTTATCGTTTTATTTCTCCCGTTTTTTTAATTTATTTTAGTTTAAAGCAGTTAAAAACCACCAACCACCCCCAGTGTTCCAGTATGAGAGTTTGCCTCGAAGATAATGTCGTTCTTCAGGAAAACCAGCCTAAAGGGCGTGGACTACAAGGCTCGACTGGAGCACAAGCTGTACCTGGTAGTCATTTCATGTCAAACTTTTATCATCTATCCTTCTTAATTGCTTTTCTTAAAGGCCAAAGAGGATCCCGATCCGATATTTGATCTGTCTGACTGTGATTTGAAAGTCGTGCCTAAAGGTGTATACTCAGTCTGCAAAGTCCTGCGGAAGGAATCACTCCTCTTGCACGTAAGCTACTCAGTTAGCTTTTCGGTTTTAATAGATCTATTTGACCTTTTGATCTTGTATAGCATAACTGCCTAAACTCCCTATCTGGTGGTGGGTCTCTGGAGGACTTGAGCTTGCTGAACATTCTAGATCTCAGTTCCAACAACCTCAGCACAATCCCGGATAATATTTGTTACCTTACGAATCTGAAAGTAAGTTAAAAATGTAATTTTTGTGTTCATCATTGACACGCTTTTTTTTAGGAATTATATTTAAATAACAACCTTATAAAGTCGCTTCCGGATTCAATCTGTGAGCTTAAGGAACTGCGAGTGTTGAGCTGTCCGTTCAATCGGCTCAAGAAACTGCCACAAGGGATGTCGGCGATGATGAGCCTCGAAGAGTTGTATCTTCAGGGCAACCCTGCACTATGCACGTTGCCAGACAACCTGTGCCTTTGCCCTCGCCTTTGCCAACTTGTCCTTGACATCGGTCGTTTCTTCCATCCACCCAATGATGTTGTCCTGCAGGGCACCAACGCCGTACTGACTTTTCTTGGCCTGCGTATGTCTTTATTGATATTTTTTCATCTTATTGTTTTGATTTTGAGTTTGGATGTGTTTTTTACCGATCTTAAGAAATGGGAGTTGCTTATAAAGGAGTCGTTGAGTTTAAGGAAGAGAAGAAGACTTCACAACATGACAACAAAAACCTTGCCTACAGTTCATCCCAAGATAAGCTGATTCAGGTTAATTGTTGGATTTGAATAAAATTGCTGGCTAGTTTGCATGATTTTTTATTCTTTAATTTTTTTTTTTTTTTTTTTTTAATAAAAAATAGTGGCATTGTAAGATCATTTATTTCTGTCAAGTCAGGTATATTGAAATACCTGGTCAGCACAAGTGCTGTTGATGATCACATGAGTCATTATGTAATTTTGGGGGGAAGGGGACGTTGATGGCCAGAAATTTTTGTTAAAAACGTGTAGAGAGGTTGACAACTTGTTGACTTTTAAATGGTTATTACACTATTATTTTTATTTAAGATGTCGTACATTGCCCTGAGGAAGGCCAAATATAGAGCTGAAAGCTTGGCAACTGTATAATACAGTGTAAGATTCATTGAAAGACCTCATACCCAATAACATCCCAAACCATATTATAATCAAAGTTGGTCGATAACTGAACAACCTTATTAAATATTGTTCTCATGTTTATCATTATTTGCTTATTTGTTTATTTTATTGCTATCATAATAATCATTATGAACCTGAAAATTAGATAACAATGCTTATTAACAATTTGGGTGTTACTATCATTTTGATCTGTCTGTCCTCGTTGGGTTGGCCTGACAGACACCTTTTGGCTTGTCAACAACTTCAATGTTCATAGTGAGTGAATTTTGATTGGAGTTTAGAGTCAAGGCTTGATTTTTTTAAAAACCTCCAGATCCAACTTTGAAAATATCAAAATGCACACCAACCCAGCAAGGATAGATAGATCAAAATGATTTGTACCGACCAAGCTATTATTTAACCTGCAGACAGCATATACGAAATTTCTCAAAAATTGAACTGTCAATCTGTAATTTTTGTCCCACAATAGTTATTTGACTTATCGAACACTGAACTTAACACAAAGATTAATTTTTATTACACTTTTCAGAAATTGAATGTTTGATTTTAACAATTACTTATTTTTATTACACTTTTAGGAAAAGTTATTGGCGTTGGAGAAAAAAAAGGCACGTTTAGTATCATCGCTAGTTAAGTTATATTTTATTTTATCCTTTATTTTATCATTTGAGCATTTGTTTTCGTGGTAAGCTTTTTCAACATAGCAAATTACACTTGTTAATGCTTATTTATTTTGCTGCTAAATTATTCTTGCATTTTTGTGTTTTTTGTAAGTTTACTCTTTATTCTTAACTGCTATTAAATTGTATAAAACATTTTTCATAAATATGTTTATTTAATATGCCTGTCAGGAGGGAAAACAGATGGAGTGTCGAGCTATTGAAAGAGAATTGGCAGTTCAGAAGGAACAGGAAATTAGATTCCACAATATGTTGAAAGAAGGAAAAGACAAGGTAATTGATTTGCGAAAAAAAATTTATGCTTTTTTAAAAACACGTGGATATTTCAGCTGGTCGAAGACTTAAAGGCACAGCAGATGAAAATAGCTGAAGAGGTGCTCAAGTTCCAGAACAAAAAGGAGGCCGAAAGGTCCAAGTTGGTAACTCATCTGAAGCAAAGTGAGTCCGCTCAAAAATCAGCCTCAGAAGAAAAAAATTTATGATTTCTTTCGATGATTCCAGTGGAAGAAAGCTCTGACGTGATCATTAAAAAGATGCTTCAAATAGGCAAAGCGGAAAGACAACCATGGAGGATAATTCAACAGCAGGAGATGGATCATGCTGCTGAGGAAATCCTTTTCCAGCACAACTTAGATGTTGATTTGAGAAAGAAAGAAATTTTAAGTAAGTTTATATAAAAATTATTCGTTAATTAAAATTATTTCAGGTAGATTATAAAAGAGTTTGTTGTAGTAGGTAATCAGAAAAGTTCATGCAGGCTTAAAGGGATTAATAATTATCACAATTAAAATTAGTTTTAAAATATTTTATTCAGGCATATAAAAAGTTTTCCAAAACAGTTACAAGCCCTTCTATAAAAGTTAGGGTCCCGGGACTTACAAAACAAAATTACAGCTGTTAACAATTATTGGACTCCCGATAGTGCATAGGATTGTCCATTGCTAAGAAAAGGTAAAAGTCAGGGCGTAGTCAGGAGAGTATGGAGGGTGTGGTAAGACTCCCCCAACAAGCTTCATTGTATACCTTTGTATGAGTCCTGGTGAAAAATTACACCTTTTCTATTCATAAGAGAAGGGTGTTTCTGGGCCAGGGCAAGAGATAATCATTGCGTTTGGCTTGAGTAGATTTCTGTGGACAGATTTAATTCCATGTTGTATATACTTTTGTAAATATGTTTCATGATGTGCACAAAATTATAAAATAAAGTATTCTATCTATCTAATTTGCTGATAGCAATAATACCAACTTATATAGGTAAAGGCAATTTTATTTTCTAAATTTTATAAGCAGAATGATTTTCTAAAGAAAAAATATAAAATTTTAATTTAACAATTTATTTTTTAGATGATATGGGAAACCTCATTGAAGAGGAAGGTCTTAAAATAATGGAGCATGAAGATATTCGAGCCCAACTTGTTAAAGACTCACTATCCAGGTTGTCCTTTTTTTATTATGATTATTCATCAGAGTTTACAAAAAACTTTGTTCATATATTTTAAGGGAGGTTGAGTGGGATGAACAGTTAGCAAACCTTTTTGCAAACAAACTCAACGATCAGAGCTCAATCGTTAATTCGATAGGCCAAAATGAGACGATGCAGGAAGCCGCAGTTGCCAAATTGCTCGAAAAGAACGACCTCGAATCATGGAGGCTGACCGCCCAGTTGAAAATTATTGAGAGACAGCTCGCCCATTTGACTAGCTTGGAGTTAAAAAAGAAAAAATTCAACCTCGAACAGCTTCAAGTAATTTAAAATATCAATTTTATTTTTAAAATGAAAATTAATTTTTAATCATTTGGCAGTGTGAGCTTAGCAGTAAGAGGTGTCAGCTTTCCGAACTACTCGTCTCTGTCCTCGCAAAACAAGATGAGAGGAAGACCCAGCTTTTAAACATTTTGAGAAGAATGGAGGAGCGCAGACCAGAGGAGAGTCCGGACTACTGGCTAGAGCAGTACCAGAAACTGCTAGAATGCCAGATCAGGCTTGACAACAGTCTCGTGGAGGAGATGGTACTCTTGGGCGTCCCACAGCACCTCCCTGCATTGCTCAATCTTGAGCTTGATGAAGTCTCGTTTGAGAACTTAAAAGCTGTAATTATACATTTTTCCTTTTTTTTTCTTTTTTTTAAATAAATATTTTGTGGGTGTATCCTGACTAGTGTAGTTTTTCCTGATTAATCTGTTACAATTGGGCCAGTACAAAATTCAACATATTACCCTAAAAATGTATTAACTGAAACCTGAGAAATCAAGAGGGTTTATTTTTTTTGACATGTATTTCATCGTAGGGATGGGTCAAGTAATATAATATGTACATACTTATTCATTGAAAAAAGTTTTTGAAGCCTTTCTTATGAGTTACCGACCAATCTCATGGGTAGCTATCAAAATTATATAAGGGATCTGATCCATTGAGAAGAACAAGCCAAGTTTTAGCAATGGAAAAATGAACAAGTACACCTCTCCCCACACCTGAGACAGTGTTGTTTCGTAAGTGATTCAAACGTTTAGTTGCACGATGATTTTTTTCGCGCAATGGAAAACCAGCTTTAGGGCACCTGGGTATAGAGCGGGAGGTCTTGAGTTCAAGTCCCATTCATGACACAATTTTTTATCCCAACCACACTTTATACTTAAAAAAATTATAAATCAAATTAAATTAATATCTTATTTTTAGGTCGGTATTACTGATGAAGAGGAGAAGTTTGCTGTGTATAAAGCCATTAGGAATTATATCACTAAAAAAGCTGTTGCGACTGCTCCAGAGTATCAGGACGAAGCAGGTCCCAGTCCTACAGCTCCGCCTGTCGATTATGATACAGAATGCGTCATTTGCATGAATAGCGAGGTAACAATCACAAAATATAAATTACAATGTTTATATTCTAATGTTTAAACCTGATTTTAGTGCGAGTTAGTGTTTGTGCCATGTGGCCATTTGTGCTGTTGCCGAGGTTGTTCACAGAAGCTGGCCCAGTGCCCGCTCTGCAGGAGTCAGATTGCTCAGAAGGTTTTTGTAATAATAAACACGGTTTAAATTTTTATTTTCGTCTGCACGATTAACACGCAAGTTAACTTCCTATTAGTTGGCTCTTGACTCACTTTGGGCCTCATTTTTATTGTATTCAAATGCATCAATGACTATTATTTTCTATTTTATTTTATGGACATGTTATATGAACTTTTTATATTAAACATATCAATCTAAAGAAAAGTTTTCATTTCAGTGTTATAAATTTAAAAAATGTATTATTTTTTTCATAAATGCAATGTGAGCTTACAAATAAAGTGTCATATTTTGCACGAAAAATAAATAAATTTATCGATAGCATTCATAATCTGCTGCTATTTGTTTTCCTGATATTATTGTACGATTGCTATTATATTAAAAACCCTGTTGCCAAAACACCATGTCATATTAAACCCAATGCATGGAGCAATATATTTTTTATATTAAAAAATAAAGCATTAATAGGCTAAGTAAAAATATAAAAAAGTTACTGTGAGTAATGAACTATCCCAGTGTTAAATTATAAATGTATTGCTCAGGGCCATTTGTAAAAACTCAAAAATTAATTAAGCAATATACCGATGGTCTTGCTTGACTATTTGATATTATTTTTTTGACTTGTCAAAATAGAAAAAAAAAATTAAGCAGCTTAAACATTTGGTGAAATTTAGTCGAGTTATACTTAGACTTAATTTTGATGTAGAATCGTTTAGACTGGAATAAAAACCAATTTCAGCATTTTCATCAGCATATTTGTGATATAACCACAATGTTTGTGCAATGATCTCTTGAAATATATGCGATATTGTATTATTCTTGCTGTATGACATTTTAGTTTAATAATAATGTATGTCAGAGTTAATTACACAATTTTTTGTAAAATTTGATATCACAGATTAAAGTGTTATTGACAAAATTATTTTCTTTCCTCATTCACAAATCCAATTTTCCAATTCATAAAAAACGCGTAAAAATGAAAATGTTTAATTTTAAAAATACTACAAAGTTGTAACAATATTATTTAAAAGAATTTATGTACATTTTGTTGTTATAAGTTTATCATTCATTTTCGTCCGGTTCTTCGTCATCTGAAGCTTCTTCTTCATTGTCCTCTTCCTCGGCAACTTCATTGCTAACCTCCTCGCCGTTTGTCTTGGCTGGTTCGGTGTCTGATTTCTTCGCCCTAAGCTTCTTTTCAAGCTGGGACTTTTTGAATGCTGTAAATCAAGCAAAAAAAAATTTTTAATCAATTTTTTTCACATTGTGACTGTTGAGTAATGATAGTTTAGAATTTTATCAATTTGGGAAGTTCATGAAACATTTTTAATATTAGTGTAAATAAAGACAAAACTGATTTCCCCATTTTTGATAAAATACCACTCTGCACTTTTTAAGTTTTGTCTAGTCATGTTGATATTGTAATTAAAATTAGAGCTCAGGGGTGTAGCTAGCCGCAATGGTTTAGGTGTTGACACAGTACGTATCACTGTAGGTGAAGGTCCCGGGTTTGAATCCAGTGGACATGAATTTCAATGCGGCACACTTACAAATGTGCTTTTTTCAAAAACACTGGCACCCGAGGGTTTATATGACCTCCAGTGTTGCAAACAACGGTTTCAAAAAAATAAATAGGGGACCGTGGTTAGAGAGACTCTCACGCCGCGGTCGTGGGTTCGATTCCCACCGTTGCCCCTGGCCCTTTTTTCCCAATAACCCCCCAAATTTGAACACACATATACGAATTGTCACATGGCTAATATGCATGTTCATAACGGAAAAAAAAATAAAAATAAATAAATCCGTTGGTTCCTGCGGGCGTATCCCCAGCACCCTCCACTAGAATTTCATATTCTGATAAAAGTCATCAAATTTAATAAATTAAGGTTGATATTCTTTATGAATTTTAATAAACGGGATTATGTAGTAATTAATGACTTTTTCCTTGAATGGGATGATTTGTTCCCGAGTAGCCTGCTGAGCCTCTTGACAACTTTTATAAAACGTTTATATACAAATAAAAAATATAAATAAAAAAAAGTTCAAGTAATGAAACAATGGAAATTGAGGGAGGAGTACAGATTAGGCCAATTGATGCCACTACTCCAAAATACAATTTTACTAAAAGGTACTGATACCAGAACGAGAAGTACTGGCCAAAGGAATACCGCTAAAGGCAAAAAAACCTACAGGTATAGTGACATTCCAAAACTGACAAGGGCATGAGGGCTAGAGTCTTCGGGATGAATCCAAAGACTGAACTGACGGTTAGGTAAATATGGTAGTTTTCCAGCCTGAAATCATATAAAAAGGCTAGGAATACATTCCCAGAAGATAGCCAACTTCTCTAGCCTTTGCGGGGTGAAGGCAAAGAGTGTATGGACCTGCATGGAGGCCATGGCAAGGGTCGAACCTGACCCTGGCATGGGTCCCTGGTCACTCAGGGCATATAGGCAACAACAATTCGCATGTTCACTAAAGAGAGAGCCAACTTTGACTCTAGGTCCTGAACCCTACTGTGATTTAGCATCTTGCCACAAAAGAGGATACATCTTAAAACGGATCCTTAATGAGTCCAAAGCCTGGTGAACCACACAAGATATGAAACACACAAAGGGATTCATAGGAACCTTACATAGAAATTACTGGAAGGCAACTGAACCAGGATTCTGGTTGGACTCCTTTCAGGGCCACTTAAGAAAGCCCTTGCACTGGATAGGAATAGATAGCAGAACACATTTTATGTTTAAGTGAAGGTCTATGTAGGCGCATTCTTGCAACTAGGACACGAAAAACCACAAGATCTTACACTAAGGAGTCACTGGAAAGACTACAGGGGTTAATTAACAACCTGAATTTGGCCAGTGAATTATAAAAAACAGTGGAGCACAATAGATCTACTCAGGTCGAGGTGCAGAAGGCCTTGTGGCCGCCTCTTTTATACATCTTATCGTCCAACCGAAACAGTTATGGGACTAGTCTGAATGCATGGATTTGTGAGGTCGTGTGAAATGTCAATCGACCAGCTTGTCCTTGTCTGAAGAGGACTTTCAATATTGTCAGACTGTTTTACTGTCGTCATATTATTAATTACAGTTACTATCAGAAATTGGAAATGGTTAGTAATTAGTGAACCTTTTATGGTTTGTTAAACACTCGGATAATCATACCTTCCAGAGAGTCTTTCAGTGGCTGGATGAACATGTCGAACTCGGTTTCTTCCAGGGCTTTGAACACGTCGTTGGCCGAGATCGTCTTCCGGTTCGACTGCATTGAGACGTTGTTGGACGCGGACGTGAGGTAGAGGACGAAGACGGAGGCCGCCCGGGCTATCGCCGTCCTCGCCTCCTTCGAGACGTTCACCCCGGCCGGAACGCAGTCCTTGATTATCCTCGTCACGACACTGTTCGGGAGGTTCAGGTCTTCGACGCGTTCCGCCATTCCGTGAAGATTTAGATTTGACAAAATATAATAACAATAGAATAAAACTTCACCGGTCCTCTATTTCTGAGTTCTGCTTGTTTACGTTATAACAATATGGCGGGAAAGAAAACCTCCACAACGAGTTTCGTGTTCGGGCAATAACAAAAAGTATTACTCGCGACAGCTTTTTCTAATCACATACAGTCCTAGCTACTTTTCATTTTAATTGTTTCATTACTTATAATAACTAATTATAACATTTATTTAAATTCATTTCTTCATTCTGCATTAAGTCTAAAATATTCAAATATAAAAAGCGTTATAAACAAAAATAAATAGTAATGTGTGGTGTTTAGTGACCGTTAGTCAATTATTCGGAGATCGTGTTGGTTTTCAAAAAATTGATGTACAACTCTACCTCTATGAGGCCTGGTGTTGTCATCCAGAAATCGAAAATCCCTCCCAATGAGAGGTTTGAGGGATGTATTCCTCGATAATTTTTGGACATATCAGACTGCAGTGAAGATGCCTTTTACAATATGGAATCCAGTTCGTCCTCCAGTCCTAGACCATTACACTGCCTCCTTCAAACGAAGGGAGCATGAACTGGGACATTGTATGCATCAGTAAACATATAATATGTTAATGGTACAGTAAGCATTCAAATTTATGTTCTCTTCTAGTCACTCGCTGCACCATCTCCTCCTGAATTGCTGGTGGCGGGCTGTTGCTGCAGGTCGTCTCAAATGGGCATACGATGTAAGGCCAACTTCTCACAAACGATTAAGAATCGTTTGTATCGATAAAGGCCTTGCCAAAATATCTTATATTTCATTTAGGATCTTGCGGGCGCTATGGAAAGGGTTCCACGTCCGATATCCACTTTGCCAGTGACATCAATGGCTCGTTGTCACGATATTAGTGCAAACGTCTGGTTCAAGATGATGTTTTGGTTAAAGAGAATACAACTAGATTAAAATGGAGAAAAGACTAGAAAATGTTTTTGTATACAAAATGTTTAATCTTCGTGTTTACTATTCTTAAGTAAATCTGTTATTGAAAGTGAGGTTTAACATTTGTCTGTTTTTAGTTTGTATTTTCTATTTTGTTTTATCCAACTAATAAGAATATATTGATTAATTTAATTAAAATTAATATAATAAGAATAAATTACAAATATTCCTATTCATTTTTGAGCAGTTTAGTTTATTCTAATAAATTATCAATTTGTGTGTGTTTATTAAAAGCTGACGTGAGATCGGCGCTTCCCCTCCTAAGAATCCATGATCTGGACGGGGCGAAAGCGGTGGCGGAGCGCGGCTCGGCGGCGCAGTCTCGAAGCAAATAATCGACGTCAAGTCCGAGTTGTTAAACATGGCGGAGTGTTAAAGCCTCTCAGTTGTGAAGTCGTCCGAACTCGAGACCGATTGGGAGAGGAGCACCGATAGTAAAAGGACAGGGAGACCACGGCAGGACCCGTTTCGGTTTTCTGTGATATGCCATGTGATACGTGATCCGCGGAGGGCTGTGCAGAGCGGCCAACGAGCTGTGCCGCCGACTGGGATAATGGTAACGGTCCTCACCCGCGACCACAAGGACAAGGATGGGGGCCCAACAGACTAAAGACCGGGGGATCGCTGCCGGATCCCTCACCGTCAGATCGACGAGGAGCAAGCCGAGGATCAACAAGGACGGGAGGCAGCAAGGGCTCAACATTTTCACAGAACACAGCGGTGAGTCACTTTTTAACCCTTTGGAATTATTTTGTATCACTTCGCCGAAACTGAGGATTAATGCTTTATCCTATAACATACCACATAAAAAAATCACATATGGAAAAACTACGCTATCAGAATTAAAATTTAAGAATTTGGTCGGAATGACAGAAGTCTCTTTTCCACCTTCCTTCCTCCGCGAACCCTGACTTTTTTAAGCCGGTTTCAGTCTTTTTACAAAACCTAACCAGAATATTTACTTAAACAATGCTTAATGCTACCCTTGAGTTATTAGACATTACACGAGACAGTTGACAAGCCTTCAAAGTTTAAATTTGACTTATCACAAACGGTTCCATATTCAAATAAAAACATCGTCTATGTCCGGTTAAACGAAATAACGTTCATGTCACAGACTTTTCATATTAACGTTCAAATTTCAATCATATCACGTGACCAGCACAAAAAGTGAAATTCTTGTAAAATTTTTCATGAAGCAGAGGGTAATCGCCAAGGGTTGAGAAATGTGTATCGTGCTGGGTTTATTCATTTTATTCATCGTGGAAATTATTTTAGAGTGGATGCCCGATGAGAACCAGAGGTTTGCTTCTTCCTCGGATGACATCGACAAAAAACTTTGATCGTAGTCATTCCCATAGATCATCGGTGATAACGGACCCTTGTTTAAACTTTGACGTTTTCTACACCAAGTTGTTTACATTCACGTTTTATTTATTTATTTGTCAACGTAACGGTATTTCTTTTAAATTGAAATCTGTCAAAAACGTTAGGACATTATGTGGAATTAGTCTTCTTTGTTTTTGTAAGCTTGCAACTAAGAAGAACTAAATCCTATTTAAAAAAATCTTTATTATTTCCAATGATCCGATTTACTAAGTCCCTAAGTATATTTGACCTGATGTCGATGGTTCCTTGATTCATTTGGCCTCTTTCACTTTTATTTTTCACATTTTGTACCATTTTTGGGTGAGTTAAAGAACCTCCTAGACGTTGGATGTGGCTTGGGGAAGGAGAGATACTTAGTAGCTGGTAACCTTATACTAGAAAAAGTAACCTCAATTAACATAATATTCGACCAAATCCTGTTTCCTCAAATATATAATACACCAAATCATAGGAATGTATAGTTAAGATGAATGTTTCCTGGTTCGCTTTTATTTTTAACATTTTGCATCGTTTTTCGATGAGCTCAAGATCCTCCTAGATGTTGGTGGAGGTTTGGGTTTGGAGAGGTACTTAATTGCTGTTAACCTTGATTGTAAAAAAGCAAATAACATCGATTAATAAAATATTTCACCAAATGTGGAAACCTGTTTCCTCAAATATATACACCAAGACTTAAGTATGTAACCTGTATTGATGTCGGTAGTAACTTGATGTTAACATGTAGGCTTGATCAAGGCTGCTTACTTAATGTGAAAGTAATTTAGATGCATTTGTCCCCGTTTAGTTTTACATTCCAGTTTTCATAATTTTTCGATAACCTCAAGAACCTCCTAGATAATGCAGGTGGCTTGGATAGGATTGGATTTTGAAGAAGTACTTACTTACTTTTAGTCGCTGGTAACCTTGATCCTATTAAAAGCAACTAACCTCAATTAATATAATATTCGACCAAATGTCGAAGCCTGTTTCCTCAAATATATAAGATACCAAGTCATAAGTATGTAACCTGTGTTGATGTCGGTGTTCATTGCTGTGAACGCATAAAGTTTATAAAGGCTGGATTTGACGTGAAGGTAGTTAACGTGAATTTGTCCTAGTTCAGTTTTATTTTTCACCTTTTCCTTCATTTTTCGATTAGCTCAAGATCCTCATAGATATTGGAGGTGGCTTGGGTAAGGAGGGGTAATTAGTCGCTGTTAATCTTGATCCTATAAATAGCAAATAACCTTAGTTGAAATAACGTTCTGAGAAATGTGGAAGCCTTTTCCCAATGATCCTACGTCCTAAGTATGTAACCTGTGTGGATGGCGGTAGTAATTTGCTGTTAACGTGTAGACTTGATCAAAGCTTTGTAATTAACGTGAATGTAATTTCGGTGCATTTGCCTCGTTCAGTTTAATTTTACACTTTTGTACCATTTTTGGGTGGGCTGTAGTTACTCCTGGTTACTAGAGGTTGCTGGGTAGGATTGGAGTTATGAGAGGTCGCTGTTAGCCTTGATCCTCTGAAAAGCAAATAACCTTAGTTAAAATAACGTTCCGCGAAATGTGGAAGCCTTTTTTCCCCAATGATAGGCTCTAAGTCCTAAGTATTGAACCTATGAAGATGTCGGTAATAACTTGCTGTTAACGTATAAAATTTATAAAGCTGTATTTAACGTGAAGGTAGTAAAGGTAAATTTGTCTTTGTTCACTTTTATTTTTCACATTTTGCATCATTTGTCGATGAGCTCAAGATCCTCCTAGATATTGGAGTTGACTTGAGTAAGGAGAGGTACTTAGTCGCTGGTAACTTTGATCCTATAAAAAGTAACCTCAATTAATATAATATTCTGCGAAACGTGGAATTTTGTTTTCCCAATGCTGGTAAGTTCTAAGTATGCAAGCTGTTGGGATGTCCGTAGTTCAGTGCTGTTAACGTATAGAATTTATAAAGGCTGCATTTAACGAGAAGAAGTTAAGGTAAATTTGTTCTTGTTTAATTTGCTTTTCCACATTTTCCATCTTTTTCAAGGGACTCGAGATCCTCCTAGATATTGGAGGTGGCTTGGGTAAGCAGAGGTACTTAGTCACTGGTAACTTGATCCTAAAAAAGTAACCTCAGTTAATATAATATTCTGCTAAACGTGAAATCTTGTTTTCCAAATGATCCTAAGTTCTAAGTATGTAAGCTATGTTGATATCCGTAGTTCATTGCTGTTAATGTATAGAATTTATAAAGGCTGCATTTAACGTGAAAGTAGTTAAGGTAAATTTGTCCTTGTTCAATTTTATTTTCCACATTTAACATCATGAGCTCAAGATGTTCCAAGATATTAAAGGTGGCTTGGGTAGGATTGGATTTAGGAGAGGTAATTACTTAGTCGCTGGTAACCTTGATCCTATATAAAGCAAGTTGTTTTATGTACGTGAACGTAATTTTGGGTGCATTTGTCCTCGTTTAGTTTTATATTCAGCATTTTACACCATTTTTACAAAAGAGAGAGAAAGAAAAAAAATGTTTCTGTAGTTTTGAATAATATATTCGGCATTCAAATCGCGGGGCATTTTCGAACAGCAAATGTGGTTTCAAAGCAATAACTCACTCCAAAGAGAATCCAACCACAGTTATTTTATCTATTAGGTTCAACTTTATATGAACGAATTTAAACACTTTCTATTCAGGAAGGAACACAAATGATACATTTACATTCATGGTGTATAAAAATGATTGAAAGGATGTTTCTTTGTCATCTCT